GTCCTTCAAAAGGAGAAACCGAAACAAAGATATAGGAGATAAATGCAGATATACGAAACGTAAACGAAGCAGTGCTTGCTTACCATTTTGAATATCAGTAATGTTGATAACTTTAATCATTTTAAGCGGTTCGTGTTATGAAAACATTCGCTTATTAGAATGATTGGGAAAGATCACATAACATTTAAACAGCCTTCTGTCTGTACCGCCTTCATTTACGTGCTTGTTTTCGTCACTTTCGCTTTAATTCTCAGGCACTGACTCTAAACTTAAACTGAACATCCAATCAGAGTTCTCACTCTCGCCGACAGCCCCGACACCCATTCAACATGAGCCGACGATGAGTGGAACACACCAAACAAACTAGCCCGACCATCGCTCACCGTCGGCCCGACGTTGCCCGACGGTCGACCGTCGGCTTGGTGTGTCTTGGCCTTAATATGCATTTATTTTTACCTTACTTGCTCAACGACTCCCAAACGATTTGCTCAACGATTAATTTTTCCAAACTCCTCCTTGCGTGACGCTAATCGACGGTGATTGGTCTAATTTTCATTTCATCATGATTGTAATGCCTGATAAAGCAGTGTTTGTGAGCGCAGTGCTGCTTTGTGTACAGCGTTATCGGGGAAACCGCTATTTTTACTGCTCCAGAAGCGGCACCTAGTGGCAAAGAATGAATTAGCATTTTCATTCAGACCAACGGGAAAAGACCGACAAGTGGGCGGGCAATATGCTAATGTTTCATGTTGAGGTCAACATGAAACGGCTTGGGATTCGTTTTAAAAACGACTCGTTTCAATGATTCAGAGTCGACTCTTTCTTTTGAGAGACAATAACTATACACGGTGCACTTTTAGATTTAAAACTTTGCAGGATGTTTTCATTCACTTAGAGCTGTGTTACACACTGCATGAAAGGTAATTTTCAAAAATCCATAATAGGGGCACTTTAAATACTAATAATCTTACACATTTTTTATTATTATTTTTTTATTATGTTACTGTAGTTTTGATCAAATAAATGCAGCTTTGGTGAACATCTTTCAGCATCAGAAAGAAAAATCTTTCTGCTGAAATCATCTTTGGCAGAATCAGGCTTTCCACATAATAGCATTGATATGAGCCATCTTCAGTTTAATGCATGTTTAGTCAGTTACTTGGCAACCCTTCTTGGAGGAACATTGCATTTCACGATGGATTTAATTGTTCAAAGAATACTCTTCAATTTGACTGACATAAGATTGGAGATCTGTAGTTCAGATCAGGATGGCCCAGCGCTCTGAACGACATCCAAACAGCCTTTAAACATGTTCTCTGTGCAATGCAACAGCGATATTGATTCTGTTTCCTTTTTCTCTCCCTCTTGGTTTCAGATTTCCTGTTTAAGTTCCTGGTGATTGGCAGCGCTGGGACTGGGAAATCATGCCTCCTTCACCAGTTCATAGAAAACAAGTGTAAGCCCATATTAATGTCGCACTCTCACAAAGACGTGAATTAAAACATGACCTTTAATTCTCAGAGCACTCAGCAGAGAGAAAGAGGGGGGCCTTGAATGTAAATTTTTTGTGAAGCCAGAGTGGCTTTACATGCTTTTGAAACATGAATAAAGGTATATTAAGCAATGAATGGAAATCATGTTGTCAGTGAGCTTAGAAAATCCAATGCCAATCTCAATTTACAGAGAAAATGATTTTGAATGACCCTGCCATTTAAGTGTTGAAAACATGTAGACTTAAGGAAGTCTACATGGGTCATATGATAAAACAATTCGAATTTTATGTGGTATTTTGAAGTAAAAGTTCTATAAGTGACAAAACACACTGGACTTTTGAGAACTCCTTTTATTATTTATTAGTTTCAGTTGATTTTGGACATTCAATTGTGCATGCTCATGTTGTTGGCCTGGTTCACCTTGTAAGCTTAAATATACAAACACGATGTTCAGTCTCTGAAATGTAGTCAGTTGCACACAATTTTTTGACGCTCCCTCATTGACTGAAAGCATGAAATCGCAGCGTGAAATGTAACTGTTGTGCAGGGCAAATGCATTTTGGGAATTCATATTTTTAATTTGATTGTAATATACAACTGTTCATGAGCTTTGATTGAGTCACCAGTGCACACAAATATTTTTTTTCACAATATTCAGTTTTCAGAGTAATTTGAAAGTGGTAGTAAATGTGATGTGAAAACAGCACAATTTTTTAGGCCATCATTTCTATCTAATCTTAAGAGAACAGGCTTGTTTTGTGAACAAGTCACAATGGAACAGACTTTTCAAAGAGGATATTATTGAAGGAGCCAAGTAAAATGTATTTGCCCTCACAGCAAATCTGCAACCCATCAGTAAAAGCAGTAAAGTCTTGTATCATATTTCCCATGCGACACCAGTGCATTTTTCTGAGAGAAGATTGTCACGAAGAAATAAATGATGTAGTCTGGCATCCAGGATTATTATCATTAACTAAAAATATTTTTAAAAAAATGTGTTAATTGAAATAAAGCTGAAATAAAATATTAAAACTTGGGCAACTAACTGAAATAAGTTTAAGTTAAAGCACTAACATTACTAACTCAGAATATTTCAAAACTAAATTGTAAAAAGTGTTCTCTTGAAATTGTTACCTTAAAGAACAATTATTATCTGATTTAACTCATAAAATTAGTTTTGTTGTATTTAGGTTGATTCAGTGATGCTAAATAATGTTTTTTAATTTAAATGAATATAGATGTTACCAATTGTTTCAGTGTAAAACTGATCTAAAATTAAAACTGAAATACAAATATATTAAACCTAAACAATAATATTTGAAAAGAACAAAACTAATAAAAATGACAAAAGCACATTACTAAATGACTACACATTTAAAGGGTTAGTTCACCCAAAAATGAAAATTCTGTCATTAATTGCTCACCCTCATGTCATCCCAATCCCGTAAAACCTTCATTCATCTTCGGTACACAAATTAAGATATTTTTGATGGAATCTGAGAGATGTCTGACCCTCGATCAACGCACAGAAACATAGCAAGGACATCAGTAAAATAGTCCATGTGACATCAATCGTAATTTTATGAAGCTACGAGAATACTTTTTGTGCGCAAAGAAAACAATAATAACCTAATTTATTTAGCAATTCTTCTCCTCGAGTTACCATCTTCCGCCATTTTTGGAGAGTACCCCAGAACGTAATCAGCGTTGTTTACGTTCAGTAGACAGCATGCGCATGCAGAACGTAAACAACGCTGATTACGTTATGGGGTACTCTCCAGAATGGCGGAAGATGGTAACTCTGGGAGAAGAATTGCTGAATAAATTATGTTGTTGTTGTTTTCTTTGATCGTGGTAATATCATTTTAATATCCTTGGAGGGTCTGAGAGCTCTCAGATTCCATTAAAAATATCTTAATTTGTGTTCCGAAGATGAACGAAGGTCTTACGGATTTGGAACGACATGAGGGTGAGTAATTAATGAGAGAATTTTCATTTTTGGGTGAATTATCCCTTTAACTAAAATGAAAAATAAAAATTGTAATAAACTTTAATAGTTCAGATAATACAAAAACAACACTGCTGGCATCAAACATCAATGAAACAATCTCTTTAAGCAGTTTGTCAGCTCAGCTTCTAACCTGTCATCTTCTGTCACAGTCAAACAGGACTCCAACCACACCATTGGCGTTGAGTTTGGCTCCAGGGTTGTTAACGTTGGCGGCAAAACGGTCAAATTGCAGATCTGGGACACAGCTGGGCAGGAGCGCTTTAGGTACTTGCCTGTGATTGGCTCATTAGCACATCCTCACTGCTCTGTGCTGACTCTGATTGGTTGAGGTCATTCTCCGCTTGTGTCTTACAGGTCGGTGACCCGCAGTTACTACCGTGGAGCAGCAGGGGCTCTTCTCGTGTATGACATCACAAGGTAAGGCAGCTTGTGGGATCACCCGACCGCAAAGATACATTTTGTTGTGAAATGAAAAAATGAATCTTTTAGCTGCAGGAAATGAACTAAATCAGAGGCACATGGAGAGAATGACTGCGGCATTGAATTGAATGAGCTCCAGGTTGCCATGCAGCTGTCCTGGTAATAGAGACAAAGACAGTGGAGTAATAAAGACTGACAGCGCTGTAATAAAATGTCATCTTCTGGCGAGCGGCAACTCTCGGTCCATTAGACGGGATGTGAGCACAGTGAGCGAGAAACATGAACGGAGTGATGGATTGTGTGTGTTTGATGAGGGTCATCCGTCAGCACTGAACTCTCGTCGCTGCAGACCGTTTTCACTGCTTTACACTCAAACACATTTACCACGCTCCCTTTGGTCTGTTGCTGTGGCCACAGGCTAATGGTTGCTCTGGAGACTATTGACTCAAACAAAAAAGATTCCTTGAAAGCATGACGAACGTACAGTGAGGAAATGTGAAGGACGGCATTATGAGTCATGTATTGTCTCACTGTTTCTCAAAGCACTCACTTTTGAAAAGCGGTATTAACAGTGAAGTATGTTAAGTGTTCGCTGTTATTGACTCACAAAAGCGGTTTCTCTGGAACTGATTATAAATGGTGGAAATCGGGGTAAATATTGACTCCAAAAATTAGTAACACGCTTGGCAGTTCTCTCAAAGTCAACATGTAATAAAAAAGAGGTTGACTTCTGGTACTAAGGCCCGTTCACACCAAGCACGATAACAATAAAGATATAGTTCTAAATATCGTTCTCAATATTAAAGAATCCTCACCAGTCCACACCACAACTATAACGATAAAGGCACAGAGAAACGATATCGTTGGAATCACTTTCAGAACAATTTTTTTCCAACTGATGAACGATACAAACATTTGACACCCAATCAGAATCCATCCTGCTATAATGAGCTCGAGAATTTAAAGCGGCAGACGCGTGTGCGCTTAGAATAAACAGACGATATCGTCCGCTGGTGTGGACGCTAATATCGTTATCTTTATAGTTATCGTTCTTGGTGTGAACATGGCTTTACTCTGCACAATTTATCTGTGTAGGTTTTTAAATATTTGTGTTCATAATTGTTATTAAAATGTAACTTTCAAACCTCTGAAAGCATTTTCCTTTTCGGCTGATGTCACTTAGACTCCTCAGGCTACTGGTTAAGGTTTATCAATAGCTATTTAGGCATTGTTAGGGCCCTATGAAATTTGTTTTATTTTTTTTTTTTCAAAATTTTATTTTATTCTGTTTCAGTTTTTCTGGATTCTGTTTTTTTTTTTTTTTCGGTTTTCATTTTTCTAGACTCTTTAAATCGATAAATTAAATTGTATCTATCAAAAAGCATGTCTTATACTCACGTAAAGCATTATTTTATGTTGTATATGCATGTATGTCCAACTTTATCCGCATACACTCAGTAAATCGCATAGGGTAATATATACTGTGTTGCAAATCTCAGCTGCTTGAATGTATTGTTGCAAAATGTGAAATATATTATTGCCCGGCTACGATAAGACATGAAGATATTATAAATATAACATCATGATTTTCTGTAAAGCTGCTTTGAAACTGTGTATTATGGAAAAAAAGTCAAATTTAAATAAATTTTTGACCCTGGACCACAAAACCAGTCTTAAGTTGCTGGGGGTATATTTGTAGCAATAGTCAAAAATACATTGTATGGGTCAAAATTATTGATTTTTCTTTTATGCCAAAAATCATTGGGATATTAAGTAAAGATCATGTTCCATGAAGATAGTTTGTAAATGTATAGCGCTTTTAACAATACAGATTGTGTCAAAGCAACTGTACAGCATGTTTTTTTTTTTTTTTCGGTTTTCATTTTTCTAGACTCTGTTTAAATCGTTAAATTAAATTGTATCTATCAAAAAGCATGTCTTATACTCACGTAAAGCATTATTTTACGTTGTATATGCATGTATATCCAACTTTATCCGCATACACACAGTAAATCGCATAGGGTAATATATACTGTGTTGCAAATCTCAGCTGCTTGAATGTATTGTTGCAAAATGTGAACTATATTATTGCCCGGCTACGATAAGACATGAAGATATTATAAATATAACATCATGATTTTCTGTAAAGCTGCTTTGAAACTGTGTATTATGGAAAAAAAGTCAAATTTAAATAAATTTTTGACCCTGGACCACAAAACCAGTCTTAAGTTGCTGGGGGTATATTTGTAGCAATAGTCAAAAATACATTGTATGGGTCAAAATTATTGATTTTTCTTTTATGCCAAAAATCATTAGGATATTAAGTAAAGATCATGTTCCATGAAGATAGTTTGTAAATGTATAGCGCTTTTAACAATACAGATTGTGTCAAAGCAACTGTACAGCATTAATTAGGAAAATAGTGTGTCAATAATGCAAAGTGACAATAGTAAACACTCAATTTTCAGTTAAAGGCAGTTCATCATTGAATTCAGTGATGTCATCTGCCAAAAATCATTGGGATATTAAGTAAAGATCATGTTCCATGAAGATAGTTTGTAAATGTATAGCGCTTTTAACAATACAGATTGTGTCAAAGCAACTGTACAGCATTAATTAGGAAAATAGTGTGTCAATAATGCAAAGTGACAATAGTAAACACTCAATTTTCAGTTAAAGGCAGTTCATCATTGAATTCAGTGATGTCATCATCCAGCTCAGTTCAGTTTAAATAGCATCTGTGCAATCAAGTCAACGATATCGCTGGAAATGAAGTGTCCCCAACTAAGCAAGCCAGAGGTGACAGCGGCAAGGAACCAAAACTCCATCTGTGACAGAATGGAGAAAAAACCTTGGGAGAAACCAGACTCAGTCGGGGGGCCAGTTCTCCTCTGGCCAGACAAAACCAGCAGTTCAATTCCAAGCTGCAGCAATGTCACATTGTGCAGAGGACTCAACTGGTTCCTGTGGGCTTGTCCCGGTGGCCGTCTAGGAGACGAGGTCTTTACTGGGAATCTCTCTCTGGGGCTCATCTAGTTGTCCTGATCTCCGCTGACATTTAGGGCTGTAGAAGTCCATACTGATTTTCTCTAGTTTGATTTTTTTGCACCCTCAGATTCCAGATTTTGAAATAGTTGTATATAAATATTGTCCTATCAATGGAAAGCTTATTTATTCAGCTTTCAGATGGTGTATACATCTCAATTTTGAAAAATTGACCCTTATGACTGGTTTTGTGGTCCAGGGTCACATTTGTCTTTGTGTTCTTCTTTGTTTTCTAGTCGGGAGACCTACAATGCTCTGACTAACTGGCTGACGGACGCACGGACACTGGCCAGCCCCAACATCGTCATCATCCTGTGCGGGAATAAGAAGGATCTGGATGCGGACCGTGAGGTCACCTTCCTAGAGGCGTCTCGTTTTGCCCAGGAGAACGGTTAGAGCTGCTCTTTAGGCATAACACATTTGTAGCTATAGTCCAAAATGACTCTTTTCTTTGCTTGTTTTTGCCTAACAGTGTGACACAACATCAATTTCTCTTGCTTCTGGCACCTGTTTGTCATATATCTAGAGAGAACTGCTTGTATTCATAATTCATAATTGGCCAAACAGATGTGTGCCGCTGCACAGAGTGCACTTCTCTTTCTCTGTTGTTAGAACAGCAGGATTTTTATGAGTGGCTCATTTACGAGTTCTTCTGTATTGGTCACAGGAGTGCTGTAGACACGGCTAAAGACCATAAGTTGGTTCTTGCGGATGATGCTATTCACACTAAAGCACCCTGATGTAACTGATGCTTAGCATGGCTGATAACAGGTGTCCATATGGACCTTTTAAACACAAAAGCATTTGCAGGGTGAGCAGATGATTGATTTTAATGTGTTAGGCTGACTCTGTCCTCCCTCAGAGCTGATGTTTTTGGAGACGAGTGCTTTAACCGGGGAGAACGTAGAGGAAGCCTTTCTCAAATGTGCTCGTACCATCCTCAATAAGATTGAGACGGGTAAGTGAACACTGCACTGCCGAGACGTTTTGGTATTAGTTTACTATTTCTTTATACATCAGGCTTTTATGGCTCATAAAGTATGATATAGGAGAATTTAGAGCCCATATTTGAAAAGGAAAAAGACAACAAATTTTTATTCAGAGGCCCAAACGGTCACAATTTATTTTAAGCTCCATTTCTCGCTATTAACAAACCATTAACTATGACTTTTGCCTCAGTAAATTTCTAATTCGCTGCTTATTAATAGTTAGTAAGGTACAGTAGTTAAGTTAAGTTTATGTATTGGGTAGGATTAGGGATGCAGAATATGTGCTTTAGAAGTACTAAAAAACAACCAATATGTTAGTGCTGGGCGGTATGACCAAAAATTTATATCACAGTATTTTTCAAAATTATACCGGTTTCACGGTACATGACGGTATTTTTTTTTTTCATTCATGACCGTGTGTTAACCATATTTTCTACTGATTGAGAGAGGAAATACTGCAGTATATTGACTTAGAATACCCTATTTTACAGTCATGATGAGTGAATATTGTCAAAAAATAACACTATATAGTGACTAAACACGACCCCTTTTAATACATGTTAACCAGGATTCACTCTCATTTATAATCGCGGCATCATCTGATAAAATCAACATGCATCTACACTAAAGAGCGGCTATGCGGTTGTTTTGGCTATATGACTTTTTTGTCTCATGCAACGCACTGCCTGCGTCTGAGTAACAAGCTAAAAAAAAAACAACAAACAAAAAAGTGCATGTGATATTAACAGACGAACTACGCTCCTATTTATAATTCCAAACAATCAGTAAAGTGACAGGTGCTAGGAAACGCTGTTTTGTACTCATTTATTGACGAGTCGGCTGCGGTGCGGCCAAATGAATGCGCTGCTTCTCTGCCGCTCACTGCACAGAACAGACGCAGAGAGAGGTGGCACTTCTCCGGGAAAGTCAGACCTCACGTTCGTGGGACAGCACTGGCGAAATCTTCCAACTGAACCATAGCTAAGGTTTATCCAAAAAAGTCGCTAGGTTTGTCAGTATGAATATTCTAGAGCGGAAAAAAGCTGCTAAAATGGTCTGAAAGTTGTTATTTAGTTATCTAGTTGTGTGTGTGTGAGAGACGCGGGAGCTGATGGCAGGGGGCGGTGGATATTGTGGATGAGTTCTTCTGTGTCATCACGTTCTATTAGTTCTACAGCTTCAGTTTCGGAACTTTCACGCTTAGTAACACATACAGCTGTTCCCAATTCTATATAGAATTGGTCCCTATACTAAAGTTTTACTGTCCAAACTGAGAAAAAATATACAATTTGGTGCAGATGGTGATATTTTTATAGCCAAAAAGTAAGATGGAATTCTAATAGTTTGTAAATCACTGAGATCTTGCATAAATGCATATAAATATCTGTTGTCACCAGGGCTCTGAACCGGTTCAGGAAACGAACTAAATTTTGACAGGAACAGAAACGGAAACAAAATCATATTTTATAGTTCCGAACAGAATCGAAAATTTGAAATGGCCATTAACGACGATATTTTATCGTTCCATTTAATATTTGAAATTTGCTGTCAACCAATCACTAATTCAAGTAGTACAGCCTATGCAAATGTGACGCTGATGCATCCAACCAGTGAGTGAAATGCCCGCGCTCAGCTGTGAACTCATCATAGGTCGCAATGGCAATGCCCCTGCATTAGAGTTTATTTGAGGATAGTGTAAGATGGATTCAATGGAGAAAACAGAAAAAAACTAGGCATAAAAGGAATATCCTACATTGGCCTATACACAAAATCTATTTCACTTACATAATTGACAGATTAACAAAACAAAAGAAAAAAAATGTGCTGAGTTTTGGTTTATTGTGATGCGATCCAAAGTTCGCGGAAAGGAAACCGAGATGGCAGAAAGTAGCTAGTTTTCATTATTTTGCAAAAGCTTGACAGTTTTGAATGATGTCTTGCTTCTGTCTGTATGACCAACCAGCGTTGGTATGGCCATATCGCGCTGGCGCCTCGCGCACATATAGACACAACATATTTTGTGACATTGCAGCCTGTTCATTATCAAAATAAAATACAGTTAAAGAAACATATAAAAAGTTACACTGCTCCGTTGTACAATCTGTTGCATTGTTTACTAATAGCCGATGCGAAGGATGAGGTTTGCATCAATGCGAGTGAAGGACAAAGCCTATAATTAATAATATTTTAGTATCCAGATACGTCGTGAATATGGAAACATTTGGATTCATGCCGAATGAGAGAGGTAGGCATTAGTTTCACCTTAAATTAATTTGTTTTTGGATTTATGTTTTTAAACACAGCCTAACTTTAGAGGATTTGTTGTGGAGAGAAGGAAACTAATAACTGTGTTTATCATAGATATGTATATGCTGTTTATAATGTTTGTAAACATTTTTCTTTACTCGCATTTTAGCCTAGGCTATATTATTTCTGAATGTAAAAAATGCGACATGAGCTTACTCGACTTATGTTTCGCAATTTGAGAGGAAAGACGCTTGGCGCTCTTTTTTTGTTGTCCTTTTGTTCTATCAAATCTTTTAGTAATCATCAAAAATTATATATCATTTAAAAGCTTAGAAGCCCAAGATTCATCCTTTGAAAACCATTTTGAAATCGGACATTGCATTACCATGGAAATGGTACTTTAAAATCTTTGGTGGTCTCCTCCCCCTTAGTGGGCGGTGTCATATTACAAAATGCATTACGCTCTTTTAGAATCAAACCTTTTTATAATCTTGACAAAAATATATCATTGGAAAGGTCTGAGTCTCAGGATTCCATATTTGGTGGTTATTTTGAGATAGAGGTAATATTTGCAAAGAAATCTAGACTTTTGTGACAGAAAAAGGCATACAAAATTCAATGGAGTTTGTGGTATAACGCCCTAAATAAAATCTCACAGGAACCTAATTTTTTTTTCATACCAACTTCAAATTTGAAACCTAACTTATTTAAACATAAGGCTTTATTTTTATACCAATTGTAGAGTAAAACCTGTTATGTAAAATATTTACTATATGTAAAATAAAATTTGTGCATTTTCTTTACAGTAAATTTAAACTTCTATAACTTTCATACTTTTTTTTTTTTATTATTAAAATAATTCTTTAATTCTTAATACTTTTGCAATAATCTGCTGATTTTCTTATTTAAAAAGAGACCAACCTTAGGTCTGTATTCCAAAGTGTTCGTAAATGACAACAATTTAAGTTTGAATAGTGCACATTCGTGCCTATTTTTAAAAAATGGGGGGGGTGACAGTTAAGGGGTTAAAGCGTTAACAGATTTTTTTTATTTTGTTTAGTAGCTTACATTTGGTCAAAATCTAGAAAAGATGATGCTGTATTGGCTATG